CTAAATAGAACAAATAACTAGTTTATTTAACTAATTAGTATAATAGTAACAAATTAACTAGTTAATTTAACTAATTAGATAATAGAAACAAATTACTGTTGATTTAACAATTGATAATAGAACAAATTACTGTTATTTAACAATTGATAATAGAACAAATTACTGTTAATTTAACAATTGATAATAGAACAAATTACTGTTAATTTAACAATTGATAATAAAACAAATTACTGTTAATTTAACAATTAATAATACAACAGATTACTGTTAATTTGCAATTGATAATAGAACAAATTACTGTTAATTTAGCAATTGATAATAGAACAAATTACTGTTATTTAGCAATTGATAATAGAACAAATTACTGTTAATTTAACAATTGATAATAGAACAAATTACTGTTAATTTAACAATTGATAATAGAACAAATTACTGTTAATTTAACAATTGATAATAGAACAAATTACTGTTAATTTAACAATTGATAATAGAACAAAGCTTTCAAGTTTATCACTTTTTGAAATACCAACTATTTTCATTAAGTTTTGGGGAGATTGTTTGTTTTTATGTTGTTATCTATAGTTGTTTTCAGTATTTTATGTTTTTCTCATTTGCAGCCAGCAAGGATAGGAGACAGTGTTACCTTAGCCCTAGGCACTTGGTTAGGTGTTCCTTCCCTTTCCTATATTGTATCCTTGACCTTTGTCACTTTTAAACCACACATATTTTGTTATTCAACCACCTTAACTATTGCTATCATCGTTCATTTCCACTTATAGTTTAGAAATTGAATTTTAACTTCAAGTGCCTTACAACACTTGACAGACTGTTTCTTTAGTTAAATAAAATATAACTTCTCACATTATAAAATATATGTAATACAATACATTGTATAATACATTTAATAGTTTGTTTCTTAAGTCATAGATGACAAAACACATTTAAACCGGGTGGAGGGAGCATCTTATTTACTGTGTTAACATGATCATTGAATTCATAAATGAAGCAGTGATAGATGTGTACAATTCTATTCCACATTCAAAGGAGCACTTTGCTACTAGTTCAAAATCTGTGCCGCCTGTGTTATTAACTCAAACAAACATACTCACATATTTAAATAGCATAAATAATACAGTATACTGTATAATACGTTTAATAGTCAGTTTTTTAAGTTAATGAAAGAAAACTTTCTCAGTGGTAAGTCTATCAACTTGCAAGTTTAAAATTTGGTGTTCAGTTCCTCTTTGGTGGACACAGCAGATAGCTGTAAAACCAAACAAACTTTCCCACATATAAATACTATATATATATATATATAATACAATACACTGTGTAATACATTTAACAGTCTGTCTTTTCAGTTAACTAAAATGAACCTTCTCATTTATTACAATATCAGAATTTAAAACTTAACTGTATAATTTATCACAAAAGTTGGTAGTAGTAGTAGTAGTTTATACCTTAACTGCATAAGACCATGTACAAAGCAGGAGAACCCACATCAGTGCATGCAGCTGGCCTAAGCTCCTTCAATCTTCATGGAAGACTCAGCTGTCTACCACTCTGGGTGACTCTTCAAGGCCTTGGCCACGAGGGTATCGTACAGAGAATACAACACTGCTTCACTCTGGTGAGTTTAATGTTCAAATCACTATAAAAGTTTTAAGAAAAGCTTTCATACACTCTAGTTTTCATTGGAGGAAGATTTTGGTTGAGTTTTGGCATGAAGAGGGTATAAATATGACAGCCATAAGAAAGTACCAGCTGTTTTTATGTCGCATTAGTTTGTAGTGTTTCAATATTATTGCTACAGCCCATAATGAATGTTTGTTTTTGTATTAAATAAACTATAGCTTAAAGAAAAGGGATTGAGACCATTCATCAATTGAAAAACTGTTGATTGCTATTATTAAATATTTAAATTATGCTGCAATATAAAGGTTTTTGTCTGTGTCAGACCGTCTGAAGATTAATAAATTGTCTTGTCATTGTAACTTGTGAAAACCAAAACATGGAAGTCCAAGGTTGTTAAGGTTAACGTGTATGTCACCTTGCATCAGATTTTAAATATTGAGCTTATATTCAAGAAGCGCCCGGCATGGCCAGGTGGATAAGGCGCTCGACTCACAATCTGAGGGTCGCGGGTTCGAATCCGCATCCCACCAAACATGCTCGCCCTTTCAGCCGTGGGGGCGTTATA